TCTATTGGACAATGCGCCTCATTTGAGGATTTCGCCTCATATGAGGCTTTTTTGCCGCGCCGTTTCTGGCGCAAAGAGGGAGAACTGAAAGCCATAGTTACCGCGAAACAGTAACAGTAAGAGTAAAAAACAATGTCCAAGTCCCTTGAAGGCACCTAGAATGCACGGTATTTAGGAGGGTCTTTCTAATGCTCTGACAGACAGGAAAAATCCTCATGATCAAAAACGTCCGTCCAATAGACACTAGGGGGGCCTTTTGAATGGCCTTTTTCACAAAACCTGGAGGCCGCCACAGTATTCAAACCAATGAGCCATTCACGGATTCGTCGAATAAGTGCGATTTTAGTTTGGTTGGTGTAAATACATATCCCTAGTATTGCTATGGTTCCATATATGGAACCATAACAGGTTTTCAAAAAAACAACAAAAGCCCTACGGTTCCATATATGGAAACATAGAGCTGAATAAAGCCTGACTTGGCCGACCGATAGCGCTGTATACGCACATAGGTTTCCTTTTCTGAACCCTCCAGCCTGTAGCTGACAGTAAGATGAGCTCCCGGAATGTTCAATTTTTCGTGTTGGCAAAGTAAGGCTTGATCTGCACCTGGCAAGGTATCAGAGTCCATATCAAAACAACCTGAGATGGCTACCATCCTTCCCGATCACCACCACACCCCGTCAAGCAGTGTAGAGCGCACGAGAGGGCGCGGGACGAGGGTTAGAGACCGAGGGCGTGGAAGTGGGCGTGGTCGTGGCGGTCGCGGTGGCGGTCGTGGTCGTGGTGGAACCAGAAGAACTTTTCAAGATGGGCGGGATCCGACTAGAGGGTGGCGCTTTTCTAACATTGCCACGGAACGCTTGCTACTTGAAGATGTTTTTGTCAGCGAGGTTATTGAAGAACGTGCGCGCTTGTTTTGTTCGTCGGCTATGGAGAGACTAATTGTCGAATGAGCAGCCCGTCAGTTACCATCATCGAGAGCAGGATATGTTGTTCTTTTCATGGACGAGCTGCTCAAGACCTGCCAAGGCTGGCTAAATGAACACATTTGCCTACACAGGATAGAAACTACACGGATAACACTGCCTGACATGTATCGATTTCTGTCCGTCTTCCTGCTGTCCCACTGTACAGGGTTTACTTTTTTGAAGACCATACAGTTATTAAGGAACGAGGGCTGCAACCCACCTACCCTGGACCGAGTTCGCTTTATTTGTAACAACGTACTTGCCTTCTCGCCGACAGGCCGAGGGAGGGATGGTGGCACAACGTGGTTGGCACAAAGGGACCAGACTCAGCTTTTGACGCAGTTCGAGAACACGGCATTCAGGCAGACATGCAAATTTTTTGTCTCACCAACGTATACTTTGGCCACCCTTGACGACGACTTGTACGGCACTCGTGCTGGTGACAACCAGGTTAAGACACTCAGTAGCAGAAAGGCCGATCGCGAAGGCCATGCAGCTGATGCAATAACTGACGCTCTTTTTCGGATTACATTAATGGTTCGCTTTCGTCGCCGAGGAATTTCGCAAAGCAGTAATGTGTACAGCTTAGTCTAGTCCGTCCTAGAAGGTAGGGGTGAACGGAGCGTACATAGTTTCATTCTAACAGCCGACCGTGGATACGGGAAGGTTTCCCTGATGCGAGAATTGCTCCCACATAGGATTGGATCTATAATGATCATGCCAGAGCACCTTTTACAGTGTCATCCATTTGTAGGAAAGTCGTACTTGAATGTTATGCGAAATGAAGAAGAAGATTCCGGAGAAGACGAGGAAAGTGACAGCGATTGTGCACAATTGCCTGAGGAGGAGCACAACACACCAGACCAGCCCCTCAATCATGACAGTACTCTCGACTGTAGTGGTGCTACAAGTGGTCTACTCGATCGTCCCCGTGCGTTTGTTATAAACGACGACCCGGAGGAGGGACCCCGGTCCTGGTGGGCTGTTAAAACATTTAAAGTTCGTGAAAATCGCAATGATACCTCGGCCAGTAGGTTCATGAACCTACTGGCCGAGGTATCATTGCGATTTGCAAAGTCACAGCAGTCGCAGTGAGGGAAAAAGGAACTGACATGTTCAGCCGGATCATACGTTTTATGTACACTGTACCCTCAAATGTCTCAGCCAGTTTGGAGACATGGGTTGCGGTCCCCAAGACGGCAGCTTTAAATAACAAAATGTTTTCAAAGAGAACTGACAACGGAAGGATATTGTGCCCACCGCCGGACACATGCGACCTTAAGGATGAAATGGAACGCCGTCTATTGGCCAACTGCATTGTGTTAACAATTGACCAGAGATGTGCTGAATGGTTCGTTTTACGTCAGTTTCGTGTAACCGGGATAAGTGCTGGGAAAATTCTGTGCAATAACAACGAAGTAAGAAACATTATTGGAATGGATTCTAATGTAGGACAGAGTACGGAACAGATCCTTCAAAAAATACTGCAGTCTTTTGTCAAGACATGGTTCAGTTCGAGTCGATCGAGTGAACCAATGATGCGTGGAACAGCTAATGAGTCAGCAGTCATTGCTTCACTAGCTTCTAGGGACTTTGTTAAGTGCTTGTATGAGTGTGGCATGCTTGCCAGGAAAGGAGAGGACTGGTTGGCTTGCTCCCCTGATGGTGTAGCATTAATTGATCTCCATGCGCTTGGAATGCAGGGAGACGTTTCAGAGGGACCGAACAACCATCTAGTGTCTAGACGACCGGCAATTTGCCTCATATGAGGCCGGTTTTTTTTGCAAAAATGTATACATTAAATCGAAATTTTATAAAATCAGTTTAGACACCATTTTTTAACCAATATTCCCTCGGTAATAGCTTCCTGCAAAACATCGGGATAGCAGTTATGAATACACAGAAATACTAAGAATCTAATATAGTTTCAACAATCGGATGATATTTTAAACAGGCGTTTTGGTTTCGAAGATATCAACAAAAAACGTTTTGATGTTCTTTAAAAAAGCTTCTTCTTTAAGTATTCTCAAAAAGCCTGGAAAGGACGTGCAGATCTCACCAAGCTCCACCCTTCCAAAGCGCAGAAGTCAACTGCGGTGGCGAGAGTATCCTTTTCCATTTTGTTCAGCTAGCACAAGTCGAGAAAAATTAAGTTGAAAAGTGACCTCATATGAGGCCATTTGTCACCTAGACACTAGCATCGGTAGAAATGAAGACTAGTGTTGCTCAAATCAGTCTAGATCGGGCACTGTCCCTGGCAACGGCGGATGTGGTGAAACGCGAAGTTGGAGAGTCTTCATTTACGCACTACATTCCTGATGATCATGTCGGGTAGCTACTACATCAAATGGTGGTCCTTAGAGTTAATTATGTGATCTATGTCTAAGCCTCCGAAGCTGGAGTGATTTATACTGCTCTTGTACACTGCACGGATGCTATTTTAGATAACTGCCATGCCGCCTTGGCAGCAGTTGCGCAGCATGTGGTCTCATGGGCGCACCAAGAAGAACCCAGTCCTCCTACGTTCAGTGACGCCGCAAAAAGCCGTATAATTAAGTCGAGGTTACAATTCTGGCAACTCGTGAACAAATGCGTCAAACAAAAGGACGCTTTTCCTCCATTGAAGCTTTTTAAGGATGCTTCTCAAAGTTTGTATTCCTGCACTAAGGGTGGGGTTGACGGGAGCGCTCAGGCTCGCGCGATATTACGCTCATCGACTTCATCAATGAAGTGGGAGCAAAAAGTTGTCACACAAACGTTTAAAACACTGGCCATTAATTCTTTTATCGCATGGCGAATGGAACAGAAGAAGGATTTGTTGGAGAGCAAACAGGCCTTCTAGAGTTTAACGTCTTATCGGTACTCAGTTAATCAGATAGAATCACTTGCGGATTTTGTTTACGAGGTTTCTAGAGAGCTCTTAATATATTTTCAATCGTTGGAAACAGCGGATGCCGTATGTGGAGAAGAAATAGATGATGTATCGGACACTGAAGTGAGAAAACTGTGTACTCTCGCGGCAAGGAGAAAACGGAAGCGCTTGCTGTTTGTTAACGGAGCAGATGGGAAGCAATTGCGACTCAGCATCAAGAATGATGTTGTGAAACAGCAAAAGGATCAACAGTATTGCGCATTATGCGGAATAAGGGGAATTGAGGGCAATGATTCAGGGTGGAGGGGACACAGAACGACGTGCAAATGCGTTCATTGCGATGTATTTGTATGTACAAGAATTTATCCCAGAAATCGCAAGTGCTGCTGTGAACTCTGGCACTCGGCCAATGTTTTAAAGCCGAGGTGCACTTCTCGACCTGCCCGGGCATCAACGCAGCCAGACCCCAATGATCAGGACGATGATGAGGGGTTTGAGGAAGAGGATTCTCATTCGAGGACAAGGGTTAGGGACGAAATTGCACGTACGGTGCCGAGACGTTCAAAGAGAAGGAGAACTCTGTAGCAATTGTAGTGCGCAAGATGCGACGTGGCCCGATATTAAATAAAAAATTTCAATTTTTTCGTTGGTTCTATATATGGATCCTACAGCAAAAAGGCAGGACGAAGACGTGAAGAAACCCAATGAAAGGTGAGATTGGAATGGGGGAATTGCAACCTCTTCCACTCGACTCGCTGCCCACGATTGCGGGGAGTGGAGCAGGACCAATGACTTTCTGGAAGATGGCAGCTTAAATAGGCACAGAAGCGATGATATGGGTCACCAAAAGTTTGGTCCCTAGAATCGAATACTAGGGATATCATGGAGGACTCACGGCGCTTTCTTCGAGTCCTCCACGGTGCGAACGTGCCCTAACCCCGTGTTGACGGAAATCCTGTCAGACAGCAATGCAATGACGTGCCATTCAGCAGATCACCCCCTCGCTCTCAATACTCCCAACCCCTTCCATGGCGTTAACAAAAAAGTTTACTTCGTTCATGCACATTCTTTCTCCAACCGAAACCACCCAACCGCATATCTCTACATATGCGTCTAGGAAATATGGTGCGAGAAAATTGTCCCGAGTTCTCGGCCGCCCCTCATCCTCTCTCAGGAAGAGCCCCTCGGTCGAAAAATAAAGCCGTCCGCCCTCGCAATACATCCATATCATTCTCTGAAAAACTAGGTTCTTTCCCAAGCTCTAAAAAGTACGCATTGTACAACATGAACAACCCACAAGAAACCTCATCCGTCTGCCTCGGCATCCACGCTGGGTTTGTCACACGCTTCCACGCATTAACATCCTCGAACTCCAACCGGGCCCCAGGTTCCCACTCCGCAATTTCGTCCTTCAACCAGCGTCCCAGTGCGCTGAAGATGCCATGCCTCTCCTTCCCGCCTCGAGAGTCCAAGTACAGAAATTGACGCCCACGCATGTCGATTGCTGCAAGCGTCCAGTGCATTTTTTCGTGAAAAGGGAACAAGAAGAGGTCGTTCCCGGAGACTGGGACGTCCCCGCAAGCCTTCTTACGCCATCTTCGTACCCTTTCATAGTTGTAGGTGGCCAGGAATCGTCGATGCAAGAAAAAGCTGTTGAACATGTGCACGCGGGGCCTGGTCGATTGGAAAAGTGAGTTGTGTTTCGGCACAATGGGTTTTGCGTCTTGTTGGCTTGACGTCCGGTTCTGCTTCGTTGGGGCCCCCCTGCACCTAAATCGCATGTTTCTTTTGTTCAGTAGAGAGACGAAAGCGTTCACGATTTCGTCGTCGAGCCACCGGTTGGGATGCAGCCGTTCAAATTCAATTGCATCGATCCATGATCTACCTCGGTTGTTCATGGATTCATGTCGGCTGTGGTCTCGCGTCAAAGACTTTTGTTTCTCCTCTTCTTCCAGTGATAAAGGTTGCAGACACAAGTACTGCCTTCTCATACCGTAATCTGCTTGCTTGGCACGACTTTCATATGTCTTCATGTTCGTATTCTGAGGATTGCCAATGATTTCGGTGGTGACATTTTGCAGTAGATCACATTCCGATAATTTGTCTGTGCGTGAGTTTTTACTGCCCTTGACAGATGTTTTCGTGTCTTTTTTCTTGCTAACGACTGTTGCAAGGCTATTTGTCCCCCTTTTTCGCACGTTGGTCTCTTCTTTCTTCACATATTTTTCATCGTGCTTAGGTGCTATGGTACGTGATGTTTTATTCTGGAGCGGATTATGCTTAGAATTGAACCCAGCAGGTGGTGCGGCATGGTGGTCTGTTAAGTTTGTCTCTTCTGCTTTTTCGCCTTCCGATTCTTCCACACGTATTAACCCTTTCAGTAGTGTAATGCATTTCTTCGCCGCTGCGAAATTTGACTTGTTAGCTTCTTTTTCGTTGAAATCGACATCGAGCAAATTCTGCGCAACTCTTAGTAGTTCGACATGGAACGCGCGCTCAGTTTGTTCACGGACGTATTGATAATTAGTAACTGTAGCCATGCTGATTGAATGCTCAGAACCTGACTTCCGCTCTGGGTAATTGAAGAAGAAGCTGTTGTTCTTACAAGCACATCAACTACAACGTGAGGGTGTGATGTTTTCTAGAGTATCGATGGCCTGGAAGCAATGCTGCTGGTTGCTGCTGAAACTGTGGAATTGAACGTCTGATATGTTGGTATCAAAGCCCGAAAAGCAGATTTGGGAATGGTCGAGTTTCGTGGACAGTTGCCCTTACCCAGGTTTACATATTATTTCTTTTTTAATTTTTCAGGAAACCACTCGCCAAATCACATACACGAAGTCGCAAGATGCTCGCAGCTCGAAGCAGCAGAGGTAACGGGTGTACGGAAGTTTTTGAAATGTTTTCAGTTCATTTTACATGATGAACGCACTATCTCAATGCGAAACGATAAAAACCGCTACCATCTCGAGTCCAAGCGTTTCAAACTTATGTTTTGCAGAGCGGCTGTTGCGCATGGTCAATGTCGTTATCGTCAATGAGCATTTTTTTGGTCACACAGACACCATTTACATTTGTGATGGATTGATGAAAAATTGAAGGGAACGGAAGAGAAAGAAGGTCTGGAGGCAAAGAAAAGGTAAGCCATTGCGTATAACTGCTTTGTTTCTTGTCGTTGAAGAAAGAATTATTCAATGCGGAGGCCTTGATTAATGCAATACAGGGGGGGGGGGAAGGGGGGGGGGGGGGGGGGGGGCCCCAAAAAAAAACCTTTTTAAAAAAAACCAACCCCCGAAAAAAAACCCTTTTTTCTTGGGGCGGGGTTTA